GACGCTCCTCCCTCTCATGCTCTCTGTCTCTCATTCTCTCTCTCGCAAATAAATAAAAATCTTAAAAAAAAAAAAACAAAAAACTGTATGTGTGAGTTCACACACATTTGATAAGGTATTAAGAACCATCGCTGGTCTGCCCTGCAGACTGAGGAGGTCTCTAAGCATCCCAAACTGCTCCTGGCCTCTTGTAGCAAATGCAGACCAACAAAGGCCCAGCGTGTCTCTCTGAAGCTCACAGGGAGTCAGAGGCTGCTCCCGGTCGCTAAGGGGAAATGGGACCACTTACTTGTTATAGTTCTTGGTGGTCTGTACCGCCTGTGCAATCAGCGCCTGGAGATCCAAGGGCAACAAATGCAGATCGCCCAGCACCCGGATACATACCCCATGCTTCTGCAGTTTCTCCCTATCAGGAAGAGGAGGCAGGGTTGGGACGGAGAGCCTGTGGTACTGGAGAACGGCCCACACTCAACTCCCAGCTCCTAAGCACTGCCCTGTGTGCCATGTGTCACCACGTCCCCTCAACAACTCGGACCCGAGTTTGCCACATTCCCCATTCTACAGTAGGAAACGGAAGCTCAGACAGGACAGGCAGACAGACACGGCCCAAGGTCAGACAGTATCAGAACTAAAACCCAGGTCTGCCCGGTCTGAGAACCCGAACCCAAACTCTTTACCACACATTACAAGGCTTCATGCGTCCTTGTTGGCAAGTTACATTTTATGTATCCTGTCCCGTTTTGACAAGTGAATATACTCAAGGGCAGAAGCTATATTGTTCATTACTTCTGTACCTTCTGGTAAAAGATGTTAATAACAGCAACATCATTAAGTTTATGTTTACTAAGTGCCAGACATTGGTCTAAGTGCTTTACACACATCAATATGTTCCATCCTTACACCAACCTTCGGGGCAGACACTATTATCATTCCCCTTTTACAGGCGAGGAAACTGAGGCACAGGGAGGTTAGGTAATTTGCTCAACATCAGACAGGTGGTAAGTGGAAAGCTGAATTTAAACCTAGGGAGCCTGGTTCCAGGGCCTGTCCTCTTCATCATGGCATCTTGCTGCCTCCATATAGTATTCCCAAACTCTGCACAGTGGGCAGAATTGAATTCAGTTACCCAACCAGCTTCCCTCGCCTGGGGACGCTATGGAGAAACTGAATTACTAGCATTTGAAAAATGGGAACTTAATAACAAGAAGTATCCTGTAGAGCAGGCAGGTCCTGGAGATCTGTGATCCAGAGTGCAAGGCTGCATCCACAGCATCACTTTGTAACCCGCATCACTTTGCTTCTAGAGCGAAGCAAGATCTAACCACCTGTTTTTGAGAATCCACTGAAGCTGCTATAGTAGGCAAATGTATACTCGGATCAAGGCAAAAGCAGAAGGAAAATAGCTACATTCAAGTCCTAGAGCCAGCACTTACTAGCTGACCTTGTATAACCACTAAGCTTCTCTGAGTCTCAGTTTCCCGCACCCTGTGAACTGGAGGTAATAACCATCCCTGCCATACTCTCCACACTGGCTTGTGTTGAGTGAGAGAAGGTACCTGAAAGTGCTTATTCTCAGACAACAGTCAGGTTATTTGAGTGAGGTCCATAGGGAAGGAGAGATAAAAGCCCTTGACAGGAGCCAGGAGATCTGGTTTCCCAACCTGGTTTTGCCATGAGCTTGCTGTGTGACCATGAGCATGCCTTAAACTTCTATCCATAGGGTTGTTTCCCAACTGATGAAACTGAACTAGGCCTGTGGTTTTCCAACCTTCCTAAAGCCAAAAACTCTTTCTTCAAGTCACACATTAAACAGAAGCCCAATATATAAAATAGGTAAATGCCAACCAGCACCCTGTGCCCCATTCCCTCTGGCTTCTTTGCACACCCACTCCTCAGAACTCTAAGGTTCTGCTGCACATTGTTGGAAAACCACTGATAAGATTTCTTCTTGTTCTGTCCAGGACTTTAGAACTTAAGACCATTTTCTCTACTGCTGACTGATTAGAGCAATCTCAGTAGCACCCTACTGCTATGCATTTTGATCTTACAGGAACTCTAAGATTACCTCCTATCTTTCGGACCACAGTGTAGCAGACAACAGCTCAGCTCTGGAGTTGGAAAGATCCTGTCTGTCTTGGCTCTGCCTGTCTGATAGCTGTGTGACCCAGGAGACACACCTAAACTTCTCTGGTTTTCACTTTCCTCCTCTCTACAACTGGGATAATAATAATCTCTTTCTCACAGGATAATGTGAATATTAAATGAAAATACATGTCAGGCTCAGGGCCTGGCACACAGTATAAATACTTTAAAACGGTGGGATCAGTGTGACGTACAAAAGAATTTGAATACCTGGAAAGTGCCCCCAATGCCTCCAACCCCAGCCCTTGGGTAGGAACTCTGAGCCACTCGGGCTCTGCTGGGGACCAGGAAGCTAGGTCTGTGGCCAAGTCTCATTATCCTATATGGACAGAGAGAAGCCTCGCTACCCTCCCCACTCCAAAACCCACACTGGGACAGAAATGAGAAAACTGTTCTAGGCCCAGCTCCACTGGTGCCCTAGGCTCTCTGTTTTCTCATCTCCCTGCATCCTGGTACAGGGAAGAGCTGGGCAGAAAAGGGTTGTAATGAAGAGTGTGGGGCAGTCCGGGCTGGGGAGGTTTCCACACTTTGAAGCAAATAATCTCCATCAAACTTCCTCTTTGTCCCTTTCTGGCACTGCTTCCTAAATTAGTTTAAACTTAGTGACAGCTAAGAACAGTACTGAGTCTTCCCCATAAAGGCCTCGTACATGTCATCCTGTCCCTTCCAAGAGAATATATAGGGCAGCATAGTAATGTTTAGGATGACTAAAAGGACTTTTCCAACATTTCTTTCATGCTACTCCCCTGATCACAGTTTATTGGTCGTGGGGTAGAAATCTAAGGTGGGCTATTAATTAAGGGCTTTAGTTCATTCTGGGCTGCTCTCTTGAAGCACAGAAAGGTGGAGTGCAGAGAGTAAGAAGAGGCCCTTCTAATGGATTTCAATTCCTGGTTTCAGTTTTCCTTGAGGCTGGTTATACTTGTCCTTAAATTCTGTGAAATACCTCTATATCCTCAGATAAATACCCCCTTAAAAAAAAGGGGGGGGGGGACTAGCTTGCCATAGATGCCATCGAAGAGATCTGACTAACATTAAAAGGGTTTAGAATTCCTTAAATAAGCCTGAGATAAGAGAGGTGAGGGTTATGGTGTAAAGAGCACGCTCCCCCCTCCAACAGAATCTTACTGTTCTTCCATCAAGCGGCTGAACTTCTGCCGGGCCAGATCCATTAGCCCGTCTACCTCACTCTTGGAGCGTTTGAAGTTCTCAATGCTGAACGCGTAGACCGTCACCTCTAGGATGCCCAGGTTCAAACACCAGCGCAGGGTCTGAGAGGGAGAAGGCAAGGAGCTAGGGTATAAGGAAGAGCAGGAAGGGAAATAAGAGATGCCTCTGCTCTGACTCAGCGTTGGAGGTGAGAGGCAGACTTTTCTCCTCCCCAAACCAAGTAAAGCTAGGATAACACCAGTGTTTCTGTCAGAATAACAAACCAAGTAAACAGAAAGCTACCACCTGAGAAACTGAAAAATGCGAACTTAATGAGTACTGCTCTGCTGGTGCTATTGTGGTTTACCAGAAAGAACTCTTAACCGACAGAGTAAAGATGTAGGTTCCAGTCCCCAACTCCAATGCGCACTTGCTATGTGAAGGTAGGCAAATCATTTAACCTCTGTGGGCCTAAGTCTCCTTATCTGTAAAACAGGAGCACCATCCATCACTCACAAGGTGGCTGAAGGACAATATAAAACACAAGGTATTAGGGGCGTTCAGTTGGTTAAGCATCTGACCTCAGCTCAGAGTCATGATCTCGGGGTCGTGGGATCGAGCCCCACGTTGGGCACCACACTCAGTGAGGAGTCTGCTTGTCCCTCTCCCTCTGCTCCTCCCCCTGCTCATTCTCCACCCCCCAAATAAATAAATAAAATCTTAAAAAAATACCACAAGGAATTATTACTCTCAGCACAAGTTCACCTTTTCTGTTAGATTGAGAGGCTGATGAGTTATAAGAATAAAGGCATTGAGTACACAGCTGTGTAGCATTTAAGTCTACACAGGGTTTTCACATACATTATTCCATTCGATTCTCTGAACAACCGCTTGAGAATGGCATTGCTGTCTTCAAGACTACTTTATAGAGGAGAAAAACTGAGGCTCAGAGAGTGGAAGAAATGTCTCAGAAGGCTACAACTCTACTGTATGAATCCATTATATAAGGTTCTAAAACAGCAAAAACTAACCTCTACTGATAGAAATCAGTACAATGGTTGCCTCAAGAGGGGAAGAGGAGGTGGGACAGGGTTTGACTGGGAAGGGAGGGGCACAAGGGAACTTTCTGGAGAGATAGAAATGTTCTTTATCTTGACAGGGGTATGGATTAGACGGGTAAATGCAACGGTCAAAACCCCCACCTTGTGCATTTCACCATAAGAAATTATACCTCAATGAAAAGAGAAGTGAAACTCACATTAAACCCAGTCCTTTGGGGCTGCTCTACTCCAGAACCACTAAAGGCAGAGAACTAACTAGAGCTAAGAATAACAGTGTTGAGATAGGGAGCCTGTAGGTTAAGGGTAGGGGACAGAAGACATTCAATCAGAACTGAACTTGAAGAAACAAAGCTGAAGGAAGCTGTCTTTCTAATCCCTTAACAGGCATACATGCAACTCACTTCATTGCCACCTTGGGAAAATTACCAATGAGAACCTGACACGTGAATGGACTCAGGCTCCACAGACGACAGGGAAGCTACCTTTTGGCTGGCACATCTGGGTCAGAACCTACCACTGACCAGTCAATATAGCTGCTAATGATAACACTGCCAACTTTTTGAGCACTTTATGCCAAATCTTTTGCCAAATGCTTTTCATCATTTTATTTCATCCTCACATAATCTCCGGAAGTAGAGATTATTGTTGTCTTCATTTTATTGATGAAGAAACTGAGGCAAAAGGAAGCCAGCCTGCTGCAGGTCACAGAGCCAGAAGTGGCAGGGCAGGGGTGCCCACAGGTTCTGAGTGACTCCAGAGCTTAAGCTCCTAAGCACTGCGCAAAACTGCCTTTTCTTAGTCACAAAAGAGAAGATGCGGTCACCAAACCTAAAGACCTCCTCAGGGTGTTCAACTGAGCCCCACATCCCCTCACTCAAGGCAAAAACTCTCCAGACTGAACTTCCATTCTTCTTAAAGTTAGCTTCACAAAGACAGACCATATTCCATTCTTACTGTTAAATTTAAAGTTTTCCAATTTGCAACATGCATTAAAAGCATAAAATGCCCTTGATCTTTGCTTAGAGTGATGACCCAGGTTGTCTGGCACTTTTCCCAGTTTAAGCGCTAAAAGGCCTCAAGCAGGGGTGCCTGGGTGGCTCAGTCATTAAGCATCTGCCTTCGGCTCACGTCATGATCCCGGGGTCCTGAGATCGAGCCCCGCACCGGGTTCCCTGCTCGGCAGGAAGCCTGCTTCTCTCTCTCCCACTCCCCCTGCTTGTGTTCCTGCTCTCACTGTCTCTCTCTCTGTCAAATAAATAAAATCTTTTAAAA